AATAGTGCTGCAAATCTCTGTTTTGTTCATGCCTGTGTTCATTTTAGTGAAGGTAACAGGGCTGGGATGTTAGGTGCAAGAGAATGGTGTGCATATTGGTCCTCATGCTAATGCTAAATGGAGATACAACCAAGTTTTGCATCAGGATGAGAAAGCTGGACATAATTCTTGAAATTCAGTTTAGACATAGCCTGAAATTATGAGCTACCGTAATGAAGACGGTAGTGCATAAGAATCTGATTTAAAGAAAATAATCCACATAATACTCTCATTTTAATCTGCCTCATCGCATAATACCAAACCTTATGTTAAAAACCTTTCACTTATTTCTCTTTACAATTTTTGACATATGGTTCAAAAGAAGGTCTTAAAAATTATCATATTACAAAATAGTTTATGTCTGCTTTCCTAAACTTCTAGGATAACTTCAAAAGATAACCCTTTTCCTTGATGGAGTTTTAGTTTTTTATTTCAGGTCTTCACAATCATATTGTTCTCTCCACAGAGATATTTATTTTGTATCCTGGCTGTTGTGTTGCATGAGGTGTTTTGCTTGATACTTGCTGAACACACTGATACCTCCCTTCCCTTCTGCAGGACTCCACTTTTTCCATGCTCTGGGATGTTAAGACTATTACAGCTAATAATCTTGTAGCCTTAGCTCTTCTACTGTAGTACAGATCCCCTGTGGGTTTTTTTGCACTAGTGCTGTGAAACTGTGGTGTAGGATTGGTTCAGTTTTACATTTCTGTATGAACTACGGCATAAATTAAGGTTCTGTAGTATAAAAATAAGGCAAATACCACCAACTGAATCCCCTCGTACTCTGGTAAAAGATGCATAATATTTATGGTACCTTTAAAACCATTCACAAGAATTTTTTAACCCCCTAACTCAGCCATTACTTCTTCAGACTGCAAACCTTTGCTGCAGCAGAAGTTTGAAACCAAAAGCCAATGTGATCCCTTACTTTTGAAATCTGTAGGATAAAACATATGGGCTGCAGAGATATTCTTGTGAGTACATGTATGTATGGCCTTTCAGTCTTAGAAGTCCTTTGAGGTCAAATGAGGCAAAGTAAGGTAGTAAAATTCTTTGTCTGAATTCTTGTTTTAAAACATTTTCACACTTTGTTAATATAGAAAGTTAATACTATGTACAAAACATACCAAACAAAACTGACTACCAAAAGCCTTACTATTTGTTTTTCTCAACTACAGTCAGAAAGAATATGTTTTCTAGCTTTCTACCTCCATGGATATTAATCCCTCGGAATGTAGCTTGCATAATATCTTGAAATCCAGGTATGCAACATTAACTCTTATTGTTCCTCATAAATTAATATTTAACAGATCACAGGAAATTACATCTTAAAATGGTAGGGAGTGAAATCCAGAAGTGAAGTACAATAAATGCAATCTCACTTAAACAAGGAAATGGTTTGGGAATTTTTTTTTTCTAAAAGGTTCCTAAATATATTTCACAGGAATATTCCCTATTCCCACTGTCCAGGCCTTCCCATTGTCTGACCCTTAGGCCAGTAACAAAGGTAAGGACATTTCGCACATTACCCTAATCTCAAAACATTTTAAGAATTTATTTTAACACAGTTAATCTATCTTTTTGGCATTTAAGGTCTCTGCAGCAGCAAAGATGTGGGATGTCCACAGGATCCACTGAGCCCAGAGTACCCAATATCGTCAGTATGTGTCTGCTTAAAAGAGGAGTGGTGGAGGTAGAGAAGGACAGATACAAAATAGTTGTATATATTCCAACATGCATTTTATTCCACAAAGCACAGTAGTGGCTTATGCCAAGGTCAGGTCTTGTGAGGAGAAAGTGCAAACGTAGTGAAAGTTTAATAAATAATTTGTGTTTCATCTATTTCTCAAATCCTTTAAAGAACAGCTAAAAACAGTGAGAAGTTTATCTACTGTAACATGTAAGGTTTTTTGTAATCTTATTGTATGATGTCTAAAAATTTCCTGTCTTTAACTTCCCCTGGTTCTCTGATAAAACCTATGATTGCCCCTCTATGAAACTATAACTTTTTCACTACAGTCACTTATGTCAGAAAATAAGGACTATTTATGCCTAATGATAACTAAGAAACTAAACTTGACTGGGAAGATGATGCTGTTATCATTCACATCTCACTTCCTGAAGGAAATGGAAACAAGCAATACACAGAATATGCAAAAATTTACTGCACTTCTGATAGAGGCTGTAGCAGTATAAAGAATACCCCAACTGTGATAGACATCTACATAAAGAACGTAGTGTTTGTGCTGACAGTGGCAGGAGAAATACTACAATCTTCTTTCAGGTTCTGTCATCAGAGGAAAATATTTCCATACTGCACTAGACTTAGGTTTACCTTTATGATGCCGGTTTGAAGGTTTGTAATTTATATAGCATAAAAATATCTTTACAGTAAGTCAAGAAAATGTTTAATATATTTCAGGAAAAATAGCTGTGAAGTATAAAATGAGCTTAAAACTGCACATGTGGTAACATGGCAATTACAATTCTTAATTTTAAAAAAAGTATTCCCTACTTTTACCTTGTTCTGTATTTTTGGCTGAAAAACAGCACAATAACAAATCTTTTATTTTAATATGAATATCTGACATGTTTTAGGTTAAATTTAATTTTGGGAAGGTCCAGAAAAGGTATTAATTTAAATTTTCAAAGCTTTTCCCTAGTTCTGCTGTTCTGTCAAACAGTTAATGCAAAATCTGTGGAATATAAAGGGATTTAATTTCCCTTTGTTACAATGCTTCCATGAGATCATTGATATGATCTAACTTAAGTTAGGGATCATTGATATTTCTGACTTATTTTTAGTGAAGATATATGGGCTCTCCTTGTTTTGCTTGAGTGGCCTCTTATATCACACTCACTGAAAGATGAAAACAAAATAGACAAAACTATTTTGATTTTTCTTATGCTAAGCAGATTGGAAAGCAAAATTGTTCTTTGTTTTTTAGGTGAAAAAAAAAATATGTGTTTAATGTAACATTAAAAGTTCCCTGGGAAGTTGCACACTTTTGTGTAATATCTGGTTCTCGTCTATATAAACACAAATGTGCTTTCATTGGTTGGAAGCAATCCTTTTACAGCTGACCTTCCTCTGCTATTGTGCATACCATGTGTCATCTACAAACTGTAAATTCTTTGAGACACAGAGTGATTGTCATTTTATTTGTAAAGTCCTTCAGACTTGTCTGTGAGGGATCCCTTCTTTTCTGAATTAGTGTTCAACTATGACTGCAAGAATCACCTGACTTTTGAAAGTCTAGGAACTCATCTCTATTTCTTCGTATTTTTGGAGAAGTGCAATTTCTGCCTTATAGCTCAAAACGTTGTTTAAAGACACATAGCTTTTAATTAAAACATACTTTCACATATTCACTTTCCTGTACAAGTGATCTTACTGATGTCACTGGCACAACTCAGCTACATTCAGGTAAGTAAGTGTCCACGTACTTGGAGACTTGTAAAATAGATTTTGCTTCCCTATGAGTCATCATATTGAATCACAGAAAGGCCCAGAAGGGACTTCAAGAAATCTAGTCATTTACTGCTCCAGGGGTTTCACTCTTGGTTGCTTTTCTATAAATACCTTCATGTACATTCATTCCCCTTAAGTCATGCCTTATGTCTTACCCCATTTTTCCTACATGTATAGCTTGCAGACTACCTGTTAAAATCCTCCTTAACTTGGCAGTAATGTACACCTGTAGCAAATGTGCAGTTACCTACACAACAGACAGGTACAGATTTATAGGAGTGAGGAAGGGGGAACAGTTATGGATCCAGGATTATGTGAAGATGGGAGATTTCTGATGACTTATTTTCAGCTAGTAGTACTTTTAGAAGGGTACGGGTTATTTTAAGAATAGGATTAAAAACGTGCAAACATGGTATTTACTGGTACCTCGATGAGCACTTGTAAGCAGTTAAGGCAGAGGAGTGGTACAGACAGGTTAAATAGCTCAGTGATGTTTCCTACATAACCCAATAAAAACCTGGAAACCTGTAAAATAGATGGGTATCTCAGTAGACTAAATATATTAGCTCCTTATTACCTTATAGGGTGTATTTTCCGCAGATCATACCTTTAATTTTAATGACTATTCTGAACTCTAATATTCCTGCTCAGGGCCTGCATCTTTTACCAGTTTTGGGCAACTGGTAATTTTAGCAGGTATGCATTTTCCTATCATTGTATATATTAATGAAAATGATGAGTACTGCTGAATGTTGAAAATATTGCATAGGACCACTTTGAAAGAGGTCTGGAGCCATTCATAACTACTCCTTCAGGGGCTTCTAATTTATTTTTAGAAGGTTTTTATTCACTCCTGAACAAATAAGATAAACCACTGACGCCACAATGCCACCAATAACTTAAAGGAAACCCATCCATTTCCAGCAGAATCTTGCAATATTTAGTTGAAGAAGTTTTATTATTGATTTAATTAGTATTCCAGTTCATGGACAATGTTTTGCATCAGTAAACCTTGCAAAAGACACTGTAAGAAAGAGGTCAATAGTTGAACATGATATATAGAGTAACCAGTGTAAGAAAAACTCTACCTGTAGATTTAATAGGCTGGCAGGTAAAGGAGGGCAAATGAAGCTGTAGGAAGTGTTTGCAGGTGCTTACTACTTAATGAAGGAGTCAGCTACAGGTTATGTTATAATTCTGGCAGTTGCCAAAGTAATAAGGGAATTACCAGAATGTTAATACCTACTATTGTAAGTATTGTTTTCTCACATTCAGAAAGAAAATACGTCAAATTGCTCCATTCTGATCTTGCTTCTCAATATAAAATATTTTGGAAATGTTAAGATAAACCTCTGCCTTTTTATTAAAATAAATGATCTAATAAGCAATGAGATTAGGACTAGATACTATCCAAAGTTCTTACTCAAAACCAGACTCCTACTTTCATTTATAGCATCAATTTCCATGAAGTTAAAAAATGCTTTACCTTTGCAGAAGAAAGGCTAATGACATGTTGATCTTTTTCATTTGTCTCAATTTCCATGACACTACATCGGTGTCCTGACAGCTTCCCTGTAGGCCTACTATTAATAGCGGGATGCCACAAACGAAGGAGTTTGTCATTACCTGAAACAAATAAACAAAAAAGTATAGTCATAAAGATTGAATGCTCACTGGTATTACAAATAGGCTTTGTAATGGAGAGTTTAGTGTTGATAAATCTCTGCTTTCATCATGTAGCTAGCTCCCACATAAGGATGTGAATTTTTTATTCTATGGGCTGTATTCCAGCTTATGTCTTTGTTACTTATCCCTAAACTTGTATTAAAAACACATAACTGATTTGCCTTAGAAAGCCTTTTTATTTCGGCTAGGGGAATGTCAGGGACACTACACGCACTAGTCCCATTGGAGCTGAGTACATTCTTACACATAGAACTCAGACTCAGATATACTTTGTTCAAAGATCCATTTTAGAAAAATGCAACAATTGAGACATAAGTTTTATGTCTACTTAACCAGGACATGAAGGGATGACCACCTATGGAAGAGGGTGTGTGTGGAGAACAGGAAGGGCATGAAAGTTGAGGGCAGAGAGGAAACAATAACTGCTGGTGTGTGATGTTGTGTCTTGAAGTAAATGAGAATTAGGTCCTTTGTATTTATTTGTATGTGCAAGCATTATATTTACCTACAATTTAGGGAACAATCCTTGATTGCATTATAGATGATGGGTCTTTTGGTACTATTTTTGTAATAGTTTTCATAAATATTTAAAAATAAAAAGATGTTAAAAATGTATCGGTAAACTCCTGGGTTTGAATACTGATGTAAACTCGACTGTACCTACGCACTGAAATATTTCATATTTTTCACAGGATTTTCGAGAGAACAAGACCGCAGTTTAAATTTGACATTAATTTATATTTTAACTTTCAATTCCTGGAAGATATTGCAATTGTATGAATTGTACACAGTTATTGGAACATAGAATCATAGAATGGTTAGGGTTGGAAGGGACCTTAAAGATCATCTTGTTCCAACCCCCCTGCCATGGGCAGGGATGCCTTCCACTAAAACAGGTTGCTCAATGCCACACCCAGCGTGGCCTTGAACACTTCCAGGGATGGGGCATCCACAACATCTCTAGGCAACCTGTTCCGGGGCCTCACCACCGTCTCCGTGAAGAACTTCTTCCTGATATCTAATCTAAATCCCCCCACTTTCAATTTAAACCCGTTCCCCCTTGTCCTGTCACTACAGGCGCGTGCAAAAAGTCCCCCCCAGCATCCTTGTAGGCCCCTTCAGGTACTGGAAAAACTCTATTTTGACACAAACGAAATGAAACAGCCACATTCTAGCTAAAATTCAGTTCGAGTTTGTTTTCTCTTGGCTTAAAGTAGAATGCAGAAAGCCAAAAAAACCCCATAGACTAGCAAGTACATGTCCCAAGAGAACATTCAGCCAACCACAAGACTATGATGCTCAGCTCAGTTTTATTAACAAAGAGAAAAGCTCTTGCAGTCTGCTCTCCAGGGATCTTCCTTAAGCTTGTTCAACCTACTGGCATCGGTCAGTCCCTCTCCCTCTCTCTCCAAAATTCTATTCCTTTCCTTCTTAATACAGCAATATGTGATTCATTTAGGAGCACCTCATCTCCCTTTTCCTCCATTAAACATTATTGTCCTCTCAGTTAAATGGGCTCCACTGTGTATGTGGCTTCTCTCTAAATGAGAGGCTCAATGGAGGAATGATCTACTCTTAAAATAGCTACAACAGAAAGTCATTTTGGTTTGTGCCAGCTCATTTCACAAGTGTGACAGAATGCAACCACGCAAACAACTGTACTGGCACCCTGGAGGGATAATTCTGCTTAGGAAAGGCTGAGCAGCCCTAAATTCAGTGGGAATCAGTTTCTTTTCAGGGGGATTTCCAGGCAGTATTCTAGATTAGCTGTCTATGAGGTGAGCATGGCAGGAATAAGCTTAAAAGGGCTATAATTGTACAAGTGGTTTGTGAAATGCTTTTGGATAGGGAAACTGCAGAACATGGTGGCCTCCTGCTCACTCCCCCAGATTGTGTTAGGCCAACATAGACATGTCCTGCAGGTTACCAGAACCCTTGTGACCAGGCCAGTATACGTTACTGAGAAACAAGACCATGGGACTAAAGCTCAGCTTGCAGACCTTCCATGAGGTCAACAGGAGGACAGAGAAAATGGTAGGCAGAAGCCTCTAGTGAGACTGATGAGATCAGTTAGAATGTTAGAGCGAACAGACACTGCTTCAGCAACATGCCCTTTAGCAGCCCCAGATGGAAACTGTCATGTCTCAAAGTGATGGTGAGCTTGGTAGAAGCTGTGGACAGTATCTGACCAACTCAACTACCTACTTGCTGCACTTTTGAGGATCTTTATTAGTCTTCCTAATAGCTCTGTACTTTATATTCCTGAGGTGATGGAAGATGAATGCATGGGAAGATAGTGCCCTTTAACTGAGGCACAGAGAGTTTCTTTTAAGAATAGAATCAGTAAACATGTTAAGATACTAACATGAAGAACAAGTGTCATTAGGAAAGAAAACATTTCCCTGCATTAAAAATACTGTTTGCTTCTGTGAAATAGTGGATTAGTTTTAGTTCCTTTTACTGTTGTGGATTTGTTATAGTAGATGCATTCTCTCCCCTCTTCCTCGACTAATACCAGATTGGCCCTAACATTCACTGCTTCACTGGAGTATTTGCTGGAACGTTTATTCTCTCTGTGTCCCAAATATGCCTCTGGGATTCAGAACCCTGACACAGAAGGCATGGATACTAAGCACATTCAAGAAAAGCTTGAAGAAGATGAATTATCTATGTATCTGACAGCAAATATCTAAGATTCTGTGAAATCAATTATTTGAATCATGATGGGCTCAGATCAATGTTCTCCCTTCCAAGATAAATAATTCTGAAAGCATATGTTTAGAGTTTTGTTAAAAGTCAGATTCTATGCCCACAGTTCTATTCTAGCTAGATGTTACGGATTCCAATACCTTTTTTGAACATGCTTCTGAGGGCTAACATTTGTGGAGTCCTGAGATGTGATTTCTAAATTAGGATTCCTGGGAATTCCTGAAAATGTCGATAGCAATGCATTGTGCCAGTAAAAAAAAAAAAAAAAAAAGAAGAATACACAGAGGATACTGAGCAAGCACAGAAGACTTCCTTTAATCAGTCTTAAGACGCTACTGCTAGATTTAGAAATCACTAATAGTTTTTATTCTACTTTATTGCTCACAGGAGAACAGTAGCTGGATTGGAAGAACTAACAGGGTTAGAAGTTGATGTATCATATCATTTAAAACTGATCATCTCCAGCTTTTATATGCATAAATAATTTGATTTAACTGTAGCTGTTCCCTGAGGTGATGATTAAGATGTAGTTGGAATGGAAATGAATACAGAATATGAAGAAAACCATACCACTCTACAATGTTAATGCAAAATGCTACACAGAAAAGTTATTCTAAATCACTGTGGGATCCATATTTTAGGCCACTCTCAGGTTTTTATCATCTTACTGGTTGAAGTCTAGCTTTTAGCATGAAAAGTGAACTCTGTACCAGGTTTGCTTCTATCTTTCTTACTCATTATTATAAATGTCAAATATCTGGAAGACAAAATTAGATAATGTTGCAGTACTGGCAAACTCATGCCTATATTCAAATGCAACTAAATAAACGATGGAAGCGTAAGGGTGTTAAAACATGAGTTTTTTAATAGTCGCTTCCCAGTGTAATAGTACATTGTAGTGTTTTGCATACCATTTGTGGTAAAAACACCTGGCTAAAAAACAATAGGTTGGCTCTTAGTGCAGTGCTTAGCAGATTTATTTAGAAGCTAGCCTGCAATCAAAGCCTGGATTTTTTTTTTTCCTTTTAATTGCTGAACGTAACATATAAACAGAGCTTTTACAAATGATTGCCCATGCCACCAAGAAGTCTAGATAGTATGATTCCTGAATTATTTACCTGCTCTGGTCTTTGATTTTGAGAGCACATTACAGGCAAAATTGCAGGCTTCCTAATCAACAAGACTAGCCTATGTTCATTTTAAAAGGTTTAATTCTCCCATTACAGGATCATCAACATGCATTTTGTCAGCCAGGCAAGAAAGAGAGATGGCTTTTAAGATACAGAGGTAAACATAGCATTCTCTCATCTGACTGATGTGCTACTGTGAGCAGTGTGTTTTATTAATAGAGCACTGAACTCTGAAGCTCAACTGCTGAGGACTTTACTAGGTTGTTCTTTCAAGCACTGTAGCGTTATTCTTAATTCTGGGTCAGATTCATAGTAGCGCCTGGCTGATCTAAACTTCACAGTGAAATTGAAAGAGATGATCCCACCCTGTCTTCATCTTTGGCCACGCATTCCCGCGGTCTCCTGTGACTCTTAGTAATCCAGCTCAGGAATAATTTCCTTTTATGTTCAAAGGGAAGTAGCAGGGCTAAGCACTGGGAATGAGGATGAGGGACAGGAGGATGCCTTTTAGTATCAAGATGAAGGCCAGTGGGTGAACAAGCAAGACAGGCTTCCAACTCAGGGGTATGTAAATGTTATGATCCAGGAACATGCCATTATTCAGAAGGCTCTTCCAGAACATCCCTTCTCTAATTTTTGCTCTAATGTTTGTTCTTCTGATATTTTATATATAGCAATTCTATTCCTTGTTAATTGTCATTTTGCTAGGCTATATAAAATACACCTTTTAGACTCTGTGTGATAGGTTTTCCCCACTGTTTTTCCATATTCAACTAATCTTTCTCAAACATGGCTCACATCAACCATACAGTGGATTCCAGTACAACATGAGGATTTACTAGTGTCAAATTGAGAAAAGTTAATGCTTTGTTACCTGCAGAACAGATAATTCAACTAACACAGGTACCTAGGGGGAATATTCCTATACTCTGCCATGTTTATTGCTGGTGACTGTCAATGAGGGGATAGTGGGGAAAGGCAGACCTTTGATCTGGCCTACCATAGCTATTCTTATGGTTTTAGGAAGTTTATCCAGATTTTTCTCTTATTCTGCTATTTCTGTAAGAAGACATTTCAGTGTCTAACAGAAACTTTTATTAGTTCCTGAGTAACTGACCTTCTATCCTATTCAGACACTTCACCCTGCTTTTATTACTATGGTAAAATCTTGCAGTTCTACCTGTAGGAAATACTAACCACATTCTGTTTTATAGGGTCTCCCTAATTTATGTATTCAATAAATATCTTTGTGACAAGGTAATCAGTGTAAATAAGATCTCCTCCAAGGCTGAACTTCAGAATATTCACTAAAAACTTTCCTATAGCCCTATTGCATTCCCTTTAAATCTCGTGTCTAGAAAATCAATAGAACTGTCTGATACTCATTTTGATATCTGTCACAGTTTTCCCTTTGGTAAACTGCTACAATTCAACTTGAATTGCATTATTTTCCATGTCTAGGTCCTTTTTTTTTTTTTTTTCCCAAATTGATTTTACTGTCTTGCATATTATCAAAGCTAGACAGCAGAGCCTTGGCCATTTTTTCTTCTTGTTAAATATAGACATAAGAACTGCTATGTTTTCTATCGCAATTTTTAACAAAGTTTTAAGCAAGACTTATACTGAAGACTTCAAGATAAGCAGCATCAATGTGACTCAAGGGCATCACCCTGTCAGACAGAATATACAAAGAAGACTGTTTCCATACTCTAGCCACATTTCTGCAGCATAAAATATAACCACTGCAATAGAAATGCTCAAAATTATTGGATAACAGGTAAGACATGGATGTAAGAGGGCTACTTCTGAAGTCTGCTTTGGGAGAAAGAATAAACAGTAAAGCTTTGGGGAAACATGATCAGAGATAAAGTTTAAGATGGGCCAGTTAATTGCTAAAGATAGGAAAGAATGGCCAAAGAGTAACAGGAAAGGATAGGAGCTCCGCTGATACTGCAAGGAGTAATGTGTATAATCCAGCCAAGACAGTCACTGCTGTGACTTGGAAAGGTGCCTCAAAGTAGTTCAACATACTGTTTCTCCTGTTTTATTATGTAAATAGCACGATACTTGAATCAAACCCAGACTGAGCCCTTGCTAGATACCTGTCAGGAAGTGTACCTTTTCAGAGTGATGCTCCCAGCAACTAAAAGCAAGACCTGGTTTCTATCATTTAAGAAAAAAATATTATTTAAATTCTTAAATACTAACTCAGCTTCATTTATCTTACTTAACTGGAGGAAAAAAAATTAACAACAGAACAATCTCTTGGAAAAAGCCCAAGTACTTACCCCCAGTGACAATCACTTTTGCTTTCCTACAGTATGTGAAGGCATTCACTCCTCTACTGACAGAAAATTCCTTTACAGGTCTGCAATTATTAATTAAACTGTTAATCAGGTAAGAAACATTAGGAAAATACAGTCTATAGTCATTCCACTTTACTGTTCTTTAGTATATAGAGTAACTGTTTGCATAATACATACAATCTCTTGTTAAAAGCAAATTGATTTATGACTTACAGTCATATAGACTTACAGTGGTACTAGCATCAATAAAACAGGGTGCATTCTCCATTAAAGTAATAAATCTCTGATCTGAACACCTGAACCCTTTATCAGTCATATTCCAAACAGAATCCTAAAATGGTAGCTGTGGCCAAAGTAAGCCTTCACACACATCTGCATACGTGCTTTTCATCATGGAAGAAAAGTTTGAGTAACTGCCTCTGCCTGTTTTAGACATGGAGGTCTATTGTGGCCTCAATTTTGTGTAAAGGAAGTGCAGTTATTTTTCTGCTGCTTACATATAATGTACTGTAAAACACATAGTCTCTTTTTTATCTATTTGGTGTTGTATGATAGATTGCAAGATTCTGAAAGTCAACTGAATTATTCTGTTGTATTCACTGCTAAAGCATGGGTGTTCAAACAGCCAACACAGGCTGAGATTGACTCAGTGTCCCTTCTAAACCCATCCTTTGAGCAACTTCTGCTTCTCTCTCCATGTTTCATACATTGCTGCTAATGACTGAATATTGTCTTGATTTTTAGATTGGGTTTTGGAAAGTAAGTAGTTCATTTATTTTGGGCTAAAGAGTATCCATTAATATTGAAACCACACCTGAGGATGACAGTAATTTTGGCAAAATACTCTGGAAACTTTATGGATTAGTAAACGAGCTTGTTCTTTCTAGGCAGGTGTAAATAAAAGGCTGTTCACTCCCTGTTATTTAGAAGGAGCAAAGCTTTCTTTCCAGAACTCCAACAGAGTAATTTTAATTCTCTTGATGGTATAAAATAGCAATTTATTGATTTAAATTTAAATCTGTGATTGACAGATTTCCTCTAAGTTTGTAATCTTTTTCCTTTAATTCTTAAATTTAATACTTCTATATAACTGCCTATTGGCTCTTTAATGAATGGTCTTGATACTATTCAACATCAGTGTGAATAAGGGGTTCCAGCAGTGTGAAATCCTGCTCAAGTTGTGGCCTTGTAGCAGCTTTGTATTACAAACTGTGTATGGTGGTAGCATACACTCTTTTGACTATACTTTTGCATCTGCAGTCTTTGTTTTCTCTATCCACAAATTAGGTCTATTTTTCAAAAACTCCCAACGATACCAAATAGGATTTTTCAACTTTTCTCCCAACACAGTATGTGACATTGGACAAGCTATAATTATTGCATATTTTGCTTTCCCCCTCCACAACAGATACACAATATTCATAAAACCTAAAGTTGTTGGATTGATGCAAGAATTACTACGTGAATATTTGTGGCCTGTGTCATAGAAGGGATAAACTAGATTATCATAGCTGTTGATACTTGCCTTAAAAAACTATTAATCTCTGGATGTTCCTCACAGAGGAATTGTGAAGCTGATCTAACATTTACAATGCTTTGAGATATGTGAATGAAAAGTTCTATCTATATGTTATTGTTCCTTTTTTCATCAAATCGTGTTTGTATTATTTATTTTTTAATTGGGTTAAAATCTTCTGAAATCACAGACTAGTAAGGCTTTGAATCAGCTATACTACTGATGGGCCATATGGACAAGGATATGGCACAAATAAGGAGGCCACAACGTCTTTCCTGCTGCATAATGAATCCATTTCACAGTCCTCAGAATAAATGTCTTAGTTTAAGCTTGTGTAACTGAAACTGTAAATGAAACTTAGTTGAATATATTTTGTGTGGATATAAATTTTAAATTAACGGATACATGATATACATGTAACAAAGCAATCAATTTTCTAACGAGAATTTGCCTGTTGAGGGGAAATTGGAGTAGACAATACTGCCAACGTAACTTATTTGTAAGGGTTGTGAGTAACAAACATATATGGACAGTCCTCTCCTACATCAAAAGCTAACAAAAAATGTTCAGGTATTTAAGTAGTTGTACTCTTGTTTGTATTAACAATGCTTATAGAAAAGACAGCTTCAATACAACAGGATGGCACCTTGCAAGGCACTGATGTCATGCAGAATTATAAAGCAAATGTCTGTTTTTTCAGATGTCACATACTTACAATTCGTCTTTTAGTCGCTTTATGTCATCCAAAATAAATGAATGAATGCTGTCCAAGGAGCAGGATCCAAAACAATTTAGGCCAGAAATATACTTAACTTTCACAACCCAGTCATCATGTAGCTTGCGCTTAGCACTAGGAATATAAATGAAGATGTTATTAGGATATAGTAGTATCTACTGTAAAATGCCCGTAGGTGGATAGGGATTTTGTCAGTGCCAAAACCAATACACAGCCAATGCTAGCATTTAATATCCGGGGCAGATACAGAACCAGTCATCCAGCTCAAAAGTAAGCAGAGCTAAAGTTAGGGTTGAATCATGCACTTCTCTAGTAGCAATTATGCTTCCATCTAATTAGGCACAATAACGTTGTGCCTATGCCAAACTGGATAACAGCAATTGCAAATTCTTCCCTAGAATTTTACTCTGAAGCCTCTCTGTTGTAAGATCTCTTGTAAAGTCTTCTACTAAAAAAAATATTTCCTTCACAGAACAAAAAGAAAATCAAACTTACTGCAGTTTGAAAAAATGTCATTGTTAGGGGGTGGTTAATTTATACACAAAAGCTAACCCTCCATTTAGGCCAGAGAAAACCCAAATTAAAAAAAAAAATAAAAAAGCCAGTGATAATTTTTTATAACAAGCACCTACATGTTAAAAGTTTTGGAGTCCAAGACCTGAAGCTCTGATTCTTTTTCATCTTTAAGTTGTGTCAATCCAAAGTCATCACTGATCACAGTAAGCAGGTGAACAAAACCCTTATAATCTCCAAATAGGATATTATCGTTAGCCAGGTGATCTGACATAGGCACTGTGCAAACGCAGAGCAGACTGTTTTCCATTGGTTTGATGGCAAAGCAATTATTCTGTGAAATACGGTAGATAGATTATTAGATATTGCACACGAGCCCTTAAGTTGACTGAATATATCACACTTATCTACTTAGATCAGCATTCAATTCTTGACTTTGTTTTTCAAGCTGCACCTGTGATAGCTGTTTCCTGTATTAGAAACTCTTGGAAGATCATCACCACGTGAAGTTAAATGCAAAATTTAAGGATTTCAGTGAGACTTTATTTCATAGGTTGCCTTTTCCACTTCAGTGAGGAAATATTAATTACAAATTTTGGGGAGGATCTCACCATGCTAAGTGGGATGGTATATTTGCTAAGACTGTATATGGTTTCCTGTTAAAAAATAAGATGCTGTCTACAAGAAAATGAGAAATAGCCAAATTAAGGAATTATTCAAACCACAAAATGTTGCAGTAACATGCATACAGAAATCATATCAAAGTCCTAATTATTAATACAGCTTGGGAGTACCAACTGTACTTATATGGGCAGGTGTTTGAATTTTCAGGAATTAAGATAGTGTGAATGAATGCAGCTGCAAGCCAGTGTGGTATTTTTCTAGACCGACAAGTCCTGGGAATGGGATTTTGGGTCATCTGCATTATACAGTTTATTGTTCTACTGCATGACTCCATCTGTTATTTTATTAAATCATCCTTGCCAGCCTAAACTGGCAACTGTTCATATGCCATAGGAATTAACTGCTTCAGTGTTATCTGTGTGGCACAGAAACATTAAAGAGACATAACTCAGATATAGAACTGCTTATGTATTATCCCTGTGGTCTTGAAAGAGAACTGCTCCTATTCATCCATAGGACAGTTTCAACTCTCACTGATGTAGTGACTGAAGGAAGTCTGGAAAATAATGACTAGAGAATACATTTTTGACCCTTTCTTTCCAGGAGTCCAATTGAGTGACAGAAAGACTTCCATTGACCTGTATCAGCTTGGGGAGAGGCTTTTAATATTGAAAACAATTAAAAAACCCAATCCTAAGTCTTGATCTTGTCCTAAAATATTTTCTTTACTTCCTCTAATCTTCTCAGCAAACTCAGAACTGCTGAAAAAAGCCCCAGACACAGGAGGAAAAATCTAAGGTATAGGTCAGAAATCCGTGTAAAATCGTATTTTGTAATAAGGCATTCAAGAAAACTTCAACTGTTTGGACATAAACTGCTTTTGCTCTTGGAAATGCCTGGAAAAAATACAGAATATGAAGAAATATTTTCTTTAAACCAGGAAATTACCTCAGATAAGTCTATGTTAAATTCCTTGGGAAACCTGTCCCTTGATTCTTAATAGATTCTGAGATATACATATGCACATGCACATACGTTAGCTATACATGTGCATACATATGCATTAGATATACATAGAAAATAAATTCTTCGGGGATTTTTTTGTTTGGTTTTTTTTTTTCTCCCAACATAGTATAAAATTTTCCTCTTTCCACCAAGTTTTTAAGACAGTCTAATAATCCCATTTGGTGCAGAAAGGGTTTTACTTCTTTAGTATAAATTCTGCTGCTTCACTAAGTTCCTACAAAGACAAAAGTTAACGCCTTCATCCTGTTAGACAAAAGCAATGTGAGTGAACATTGAAAAAAGACTAATCTTTTTCAGGCTTCCTTTTTAATATTTATCTGACCCTGCATAATACCTGAATCCTTTTTGATTTATAGTCCCAGACGGTGATGGTCCTTCCAGTTACTGCCACGACACGTTTCAGCTGAGGTAGGAAATCACATCCAGTGATGCAAGCATCATCCTGTTAAAAATAAAAACATAACAACAAAAGTTGTTGTCTGTTTCCCTTGTATAGATTTTGTTAAAAAACTTCATATGAATATTCACATATGAATGTGTTCTTATGCCCTCTTTAAAACCAGAAATGGTTTTAATGCTTCTTAGGTCGTAATTTCTGTCAGTTTTTCTCTCCTTTTTAGTGAAAAAACATCTTAAAAATAATCATGTCTCTAAGCCAGTGGATCCCACAATACAATGGCTAGGATGCTTTATGGTAAAAGAAAGATCAAGCTCAATTTACTTGACTGGATTTTAAATGTCCACTTAACTGCAAGCAGACCTTTCCTTTGATGAATAGAGCTGTTCCTATTTGGAGTAAAACCAGTCAGAGCAGAAGGCACATGTTATTTTAACATCTGTTTCTCTTTCACTGCTAATTCTTTAGGGGAGAAATAGCTCTCAACCCTATGAGAGAAGGATTTTTCCTAAGAACATGGAAAGCATTAAGATACCTTTGCATAGCAATGCATGGGTGTGTTCCTTGTTTCATTTGCTTAGGGACTAACTGCTGCCAAGTTCTTGCTTGACAGCCTGATTTTCTAGTTGCAGATACTGTGATAAGAGAGGGAAGCTGAAGTCCACGTTCATACTCTGATGGCTCAGCATCATTAGCTATGGAGAGAATAGTGAGGGAGAAACTGATATCCAGAACTGCCTAATAAAACTGGAACCAAAATTATTCTGTGGATTGGTGGGAAACAGAGACTATTAGGGTCTTGCAGAGTGTAAGTATATAAACTAACTTGGTCTCTAATGTAATTATGACACTAAAAATTTTTGTAAAGTTTAGTTGTAGAAAGTTAAACTTTTCTCAATTATTCCAGCATGTGAAAGGTTGAACATCATTTATCTCTGCATATGAATACCTAAAATACATATAAGAAGGATATCAGCCAGTTGCAGTGAATCCAGAGGACGCCACAGAGATGCTCAGAGGGCTGGAGCACCTCTGCTATGGGGACAGGCTGAGAGAGTTGGGCTTGTTCAGCCTGGAGAAGATAAGGCTCTGGGGAGACCTTATAGCACCTTCCAGAACCTGAAGGGGCTACAAGGAAGCTGGGGGGGACTTTTTACAAGGGCCTGTAGTGACAGGACAAGGGGTAATGGCTTTAAACTGAAAGACAGTAGATTTAGATTGGACATCAGGAAGAAGTTCTTCCCAGAGAGGGTGGTGAGGCACTGGAACAGGTTCCCCAGAGAAGCTGTGGATGCCCCATCCCTGGAAGTGTTCAAGGCCAGGCTGGACAAGGCTTTGAGCAACCTGATCCAGTGGAGGGGGTCCCTGCCCATGGCAGGGGGGGTGGAACTAGATGGCCTTTAAGGTCCCTTCCGACCCAAACCGTTCTGTTATTCTATGAATTAGATACACTGAGACATGGCTGATAGAACAGTCTGCCAGAGACTATAAGAATTTCATTATTTCCTCATTCCATCCTGTCACTCAAGGACTCTAGCTTCACTCTCTCATTTCCAATACAGTCTCTGTTTCTGTTTGTCTGCCTCATCCACTGGGTCTGTTAATGCTTTTCTATGCTATGTTTAAAAGTAATTTAATTTCCATTCTTCCAGAAAAGTAGTTTGTTCACTACCTGTATTCCTATCATCATTGATTGATGATTCTATGCTGACTACTATTTTTGGGACATTTCATCTGGAAAATTCTTAATTCATTTAACATGTACTCTAGTATTTTTTTCAGTGTTCATATTTTAAAATGGAAAGTCATATGACACTAAAAGTCAAATACTACAAAGAGTTTTAAGTGTATTATATTTATGCCTCTATTCTTTCCAGTCAGTCACATAATCTCATCAAGAAATGAAATCAGGTTTTCTTGAGGTGAACTGTTCTCCATAACATCCCCGGAACAAAATCGTAAATTATCCGTACACATAGTTCATGTTCTGTCTATACCATCGTGATGCTGGGAAAGTTCTGATGGCTGCAATCCACTGAATTGTATTCCTAGAACTGCTATGTTTCACAGCCTTTCCAGCTCAATATCCTCAGGGTCAAGACCTCTGTTGCTCTGTTTGAGTAAGTCCCTGTTCTGAAATACCTTAACAGTGAGAACACTGTATGGTAGAGAGTAGGAGAACCTAAGGATTATTCTGCAATTTGTTAGCCACCCTCTACGCACATCATTTACCAATTGATGGTAGGTTTGGAGTCCAATAACATCTCTGAACTCAGTACCTCACTTCATTTGACAAAGATGCCTACAAATACATAGCTTGACCGATTACCTAGTGCCAGTAGTGATGATGATGTTAAAACATGAAAATAGCATTGCAGTGAGAAAAGAATGAACTGTTATTTCTGTAGATCTACAAAAAAGAATTGTAAGTTCTGCAAGGAAAAGGCAACTTTTTCTCATTAGCTATTCAGAAATTAATTGTGAGGCATTATTCATAGTTGTACATTATAACCATTTAGTGCCGAGGTCTTCAACTAGTATGGTTCATATCTTTAGCAAGTAAATGGTGGGTGGTGATTTACACTTATGTAAGGTATTGGCCTTTAATTTTTAATAAGTATTTAGGTAAAAGCAATTAAAATGCAAAGCTTCAGTTTCAATAAACATACTTTAAAATAAAAAAACCCAGCCCAATTCTAGAAATATATCTCTCAAAGAATTCTCAAGTAAAAAACTTAATAGCATCGTATATTTCAACGGCCTGGAAAGTGGGAAATTCTCTCAAAACAATCCAGAATTTTATTTAATTTTAATTTAGCATAAGGATATAAATTTCCATTTTAAGAAAACAATAGCTTAAAATATCCTGCAAATATGAAAATTTTTTTTTCCTGCAAACATGAAAATGTTTTAACAACCATCAAAAAGTTAAACCTCAAGCCCAGTAATAGCCATTTTAATTCTGTTTTCACTGCAGTAGTTAGAGGAAGGATGAGAAGAAAGTAAATTGGCTAAGGACAGGATCATTTGGTGCAAACACTTAATTAAAAATGTTAACTAAGATCACCTATTTCCTAAGACAAGGCAGAGAAGAAAGAAGCAGCGTTTTAACTAGACCATCTGAAAATTTCACAATTCTGATACCAAAAAGGTGAATATAATAACAACAACAAAATAGCATGACACAACCAAATACCATGAAATCTCTCAGATGCAGAGACAGAGGATTTCATAAGGTTGGGGGCATGGGTTTCTCACTATCAATCTTTTCTTCTTACTGTCAATCAGCTCCCCAGCCAATGTCCCAAAGATTTTCCCCTGAAACACTTTACATCCTACCATGTTCAGCAGTAATGATTCCATCTGATCTAAGGATCCCCAGCAGCAATGATCCTCCACCCAAAGGGGAGGAATCCGAACTATTTCAAACCTACTTCTTCCTTTGCCTAGGGAAGGCTGAAAAAGTGGAAACAGCTGCGAAAGTGTGGGAGAGTGGCACATGACAAAGGGAGACAGCAGATAAGGCTATGCCAGACAGATGTGGTGAAAAGCTGAATGGAAGTGGGTGCTCACAGATAATAAAGTGTGTTGTGTATGGATACTAAAACTACGAGTTTTGGTATTGTATCTGTTTGGAATCACAGCCCTAACAATTATGGTATTACACCATAATACTGAGTGATACCTTTATGTTAAACATATCCTCCTTTCACATTTTTTTATAGCAGAGATATCCTTCAACAGTGCCTAATTCTGCTACAGCTGCCAAATATCATCCTACTGCCACAGCAAAGACTTCCATATCCATTGAGGAATCATTCTTAGTGCTCAGAGAGGAAGAAGACCCTGCAGCTGCACGCTGCCCATGGCAGCATCAGGCTGGCACTCCAGCTGCTTCTCCTTGGCATCTCCAGGGATAAGCACCAAATATTGTTCTCACCCTACCCTGACATATTTGGACTGGTGAAGTTGTTCCTACAATCGAAGCAGGAACAAACTACTAAAATTCAGTCCTGTAACACAGCTGTAGAAGAAATTCTAAGCTGATTCTAGTCAACGTTTCCAAAAGTTGATAGGTCCCAATAATGTTTCTCAGTTTACATCTCTGCATTGATTCCACAGGTCAGATTAGTCCTTACAACAATTTATATGCAACTCAGGCCCAGAGTTGTTTTCTGTGTTGGAGTAGTAGGGCCTGTGGTCTGGAGTATTTCTATTGTGTTTTAGAACATCTGCAATATGTGAGAGAGAATCAACAAAAGGCACTACCCCCCCGGCACAAGATACCTACAGGGACTTTTAGTCAAGGGGTCACATCACTTTGTTATGACCGCTGACAGTTCTCTTGTCTGCAGGTCATCTGAAGGGGGATCATCACCTAAAATCTGCAGTGATAGCCCAAGGGTAAAAATGAGCTTTTAAAGTAGATGCTGTGTAGCCAACCAATCTACCCAGCAAAGTGTAGAACTCTTTTTCACTAATGAACTTAAAATTTTTCTTATTTAAATGTTACAGTGGTGAAGTGTTGGAACTTCGAAGAAATAATTCTGGAAAGGTAGTAGGTAAAGGACAATTTTGTAGAAAAAGCAACATTTATCTGAGGTTTCTTTTTATCAGAGTAAAGAAATCAAGTTACACAATTGTTTCTATAACTTAAAGGAGTAAATTGAATCTGTTTGACCTATGGCACCCTATGCCAAATTATGCAGAAGTCTCAAGGTTATAAGTAGCAGTTTCTAATTACTTCACTTTACTACCTGCTGATTTTTAATTCAAATGATTTAACAGAAGGAGGAAAATTAACTCACTTTAATGCTGGTGGTTGCCAGAACCCTCATCTGAAAAAAAAACCGAAAATATGTTGTCTCAATAACAAGTTAGAAATTAAATTAAAAATCTGAACACAGTCAGTCTCCTGCATCACAGGCAGAACAAATCAGTAATAGCCAACAGAAAGAGTTTGTAGTTAAGATCTTCTGAGAAAGTTCTTTAACCTACTGACTGTCTGCTCCCCAGTTTATAGTGAGGAACTGAAACCCTCTCACAGTTGTTTCATGGTTTGTTGCTTTGGTTTTTTTAAAAAATTGTGATGTTAGAGTGAGCAGAATAAGAAAAAAAAATACTCATTTTCACAGTGGACTACAAATCAGCTGTTCTCATGGAATTGGGCTTCTAATAGTTCTTCACAGCTAGAACAGCTTCAACTACTGAAAGAGGTAGGATGTGGCATACAGAAACCTAAGCTTATGCTGGCCCATATGACATGTCAACTAGTGCCAGCAAAATCCCAGGCAGAGGTAGCACATTAGGCTGCAAATTTGAATATCCATATCAGTATAGCATCTTTCAGCAAAGTTAACTATCTGGGGACAGCGTGACAAAACCTGAAGTGTTTAAAGTCACACAGTAGTAGGCATACCTGTCACCACCATCCAGCAGAGACAGGGTCATCTCTGTCCCCTAACAAAACTACTACTCATTTTTCAAAAGCAGTTTCAGCCTTTTCCCTTCTGAAACAGTCACAGCTGCTTTTTTACCTCCTCTCGCCACCACTCATTTTCAGTAATAAATAAGTGGTGCCTAATTCCCATCCCAGCAATTCCACATTTCAGAAACCAAGAAGATAGGATCAAAATCTTTCTTCCCATGGAAATGCGATGCCCAGTGTCATCATGGAAAGTCTTTGAGCAGAGTTTAAAAATATTGTTAATCAAGAGTTTAATATCCATGCACTGTTTTGGCTTTATCTACAGGAAATAGATAAAGCCACAGATTTGGCTTTATCTACAGTAATTAGAGCGTGCACAGACAATTTTCCTTAAGGCTGCCTACTCCTACAAGTCTTTGGTGCTGATCAAGGCAGCATCCATGTCTGAGATCCTGAGAAGGGTAACTATCTGTCTCACATTCTAGAGTAAGCAAGAAATGGCTAATAATGCACAGCTGCATGCAGGTACTGAAGCATAATAGGTCCACATTTGTTGCAGAAAGCAACACTTAGCCCTCAAAAAGAGAGCCTGCTGGCCTACAAATGAGTTTTTCTTTGCTTTCGCTTCAACTTCCAATAGCTGATCTGTATGAGAACATAGGATTTCTTATCACAGCAACCAGGACTAACAAAAGTCTCCAATCCTTCTTTTAGATGATAATTAGAGTCACTAGCAGTTTACATAGTGGATGATGGAAGCCTGTCACTGGTGAAATAGGAGATGATTTTGAAAGCTATCCTGACGTATACAGGCTAAATTAAGCATTCTTAATGCCATTTAACATGACGGACACTAATTATTTGCTGATAAAAAGCTGATTAATTCTTATTTCACCGAAGTTTAATAGATTAACAAGCTGTGTGTTGGTTTGCAACCTCTTAATTGTTCCTGTTCTAATTTTTAAATTAGGTGTTTTTTAAAGTTTTTAACTATTCTCAGTTTCTACCCAGTATCAAATAAAAACTTGTCTAGATTGTCAGCTGCATCCAAGGATATAACATGACCACTAAGGAAACTGTCAAGTTATATTTGCTTTCCAAAGGGCAAAGAGAATTATAACAACTTGATCTTGTGGAAAGTTTGGTTTCATTGGGCATCAATTTACACCAGCCTGAATTAACAGAATATGGCCCTGTCTCTTCCTCCACATGTACGTTTCTTACTAGTCAAATGTGCCAGAAGTGGCACAGCTAGCTTCTGTATTATATTAGATCCACTAATTATATCAGACCAAATATTGTTATTCATGTACACGGAACACAGTGACTCCTGTGGGATATATGTGTATCCAAGAACACCATATAGTTAATAACCTGCCCTTTAAAAATGCAGCAGTTATACAAAAATAAACCTCTCTGTCTACGTGTTAATGCACTGCTCATGTATTCATATTTTGGCCCCTCCACCCAGAGTACAAGTCAGATCAAGCGGCATCTTGTGGTGGTGCATTTCTTCCCCTCTTAACTCCTGGACAGCTTTATGGCCTTAGATATTCCTGTTAAACCTCAGCCATTGTTCAGGGAGTTTGGTGGTTAAGCGCCCCTTATCATATCAAAACACTCTTGCACTGCCAAGGTGGGGAATGGCCATACTAAGGGTCAGTTGCCTGGTTACAGTGAGGGATGAGAGTGAAATAATTCATCCCCTGCCAGCCCTGAACCTTATCGCAATCTGGGTAGATGGGTACCAGCTGGGAATTCCAATGACCACCTACCCAAATTAAGGCCAGGATATAAAATTATTTATGACTAAAGTAAATTACCTTGCGACCCTATAAATAGCAGTTCCAAGGATGACCCTTTGAGCTCTCCTGGATCATAGCAGGCTGCGCCCAGCATCTCCCTCTGAGTGGGAAGCCTCTCAGAGTTTACAAACTCTCAAGTTTGTGAAATCAGAGAACAGTCAACACAAACTGGGCTGAAAACCCTTCTTGAGGGTCAACTCTTCGCCCATTGAGAGATGCACTGATATCCAACGTGAATATTTTCACCGAACTCAAGGGGAAATTTTTAACAGGTACCTTCATACAAATATATGTATATTCTATGACTCTATTTCTATATCTGTCTGTGTGAGTGTATGCATGCAACTTAATGTTGATAACTTTCTTAAGTCTTTGATTAAGTTACTGTACTGATTTATTGAGAGTTAAGTCCTGCTGAGGAGTTGTATGATCTAATTGTGTGGTCTATCTGAATAGCGTTAAGGAATTTTGAATTATTGCTGCCCCACATTGTTGCTATCCCAAAGTTTCACACCAAGCACAAATCTCCACACACTCTAATCCTTTCCCCAGTTCCTTAGGCATAAACCATTGACCAGGTCTGGGACTAGTGGTGGATTCAGCTGCACCTAGACCTCTCTTTTGAGGAGTTTAGAAAGCAAGAGGTTCCTCACTGAACCTTGTGACCAAACAGGAGGAAATTCCCT